TACACACACAACATTCCAAACAGTGCCAGAACTATTATAGCGACTTACACAGATGATACAGCTATTCTAACAAAACGTAAAAATCCAACACACGCCTCACAAACTTTACAACATCATCTAACAGAGCTAAACGACCGGTGCAAACTCTGGAAAATTCGACTCAACCAAGACAAATCACAACACATCACTTTCACTCTTGGACATGAAACATGTCCTCCTATTTATCTTGACAATGCCGAAATTCCTCAAACAGATAAAATACCACATCTTACTCTGACATTCGACAGAAGAATGACAGGGGGCCTACATATAAACAAAAAAAAAGCTTTAAACCTCAGACTATGACTGTTCTCAAGACGCTCAAAATTAAACCTAAAACAAAAACTGAACACTTACAATCATCTACTTAAGTCCATAGCATAGACCTATGCTTCACGACAGCCGAAATGACCCACATATGAAAACTAAAAATTTCACTAAAATTTAATAAAATTTTCATTCTAAAACTTTCAGGACTATAACTAAAGCTTCATGGTACATCGTAAACATTACTTACCTTCATAAAGACCTTCAAATGCAACAGTTAACGACCACATACTGACACACTACAAGCCGTTTCACAATAACTTACATGGACATACTAACACACTTATACAAAGTATGGCTACATTTAACATGTCCGAAAACACAATTAGGAGACTCAAAAGGAGGTGGATGAGGGATTTCCTTGCTTAAAAAGATGCTGAATTCAAGACAGAAAGGGATGCCGCTGGACATTCCTCTTCATAACGCCAATCAAGCCACTACCTGTACTCTTACCTACAGCAGATCCGCTAATTGTCATTGCTTATGATAGGTGTGGGTGAAGAAATGGAGTTAAAAAAAAAAAAAAATTAGCAACACTCAATTAATTTTGGATCATATTTTGAAATTTCCTCATACATCCCATTGAGAAATAAATATGCAATGCATGTACTATAATATTTCAAAGATGAATATATTTTCAATTAATCATATAAGAATAATTTTCAGTTTCTTTTAATATTATTTTTGATATCTAATTATTATTAACTTTATGGTTTTTATAGTGTCTTAATTCATTAATATTTGGGAACCCCTACAATAAAATATAGGAACACAGATTTTTATTAAATAATAATTATTTTCGGAAGATTTGTGTTGCTAAGTTTTTAATAACGCATACTCACACAACTCGTAAGAATAGTTGCATTCGGGTTCAAGCGTTCCTGAAAGATGTGCATCCATTAAAATACAATATAAGAACCTTACGCAAAAATATCTAGATAAATAGCATTGAATTTAATCAAAATTTAAATAAGATGAAGATTGGGTATTGACAAATATTTATGAAAGTTAATTTTAAATAACTTAAATCTGTAAAAATAAAATAATGTTAACAAACAATACAACGTCACTTTTTTTGAGCAGTTTAAGAAATAAATTATACATCCATATGATAAAGTGATTATGTACAAGTTCTGGTGAAATGTTTGTGAAGTCACATTCAAGCAAACCATGCTAAAGCAAAGTTTTCATTTTAAGAGCAAAAATGGCAGGATATGAAAATGTTAAAAAATAATGTGAATAACTACATGAAGCATGCATTAAAATATTTTAAGAAAGCAGTGTCATGAGTAATAAAGAATTTACTATTCTAAGATGTAATCATTAAAAGGACCTCAATTAAATAAATAATTATTAAAAAAAATAAATGAGAGAGCTGTTTGAGGTGTTAATATACAAAGGTGTAAAATCGTTTCAGAAAGACTACAAAATATTTTGTTTTAAATTTTGTAATGTTTCCTTGTTTTTGTCATTGATTTTCACAAATTAGTAGCTAGTGTAATGTGTAAAACCACAATACCTTCTTATTAAAAACTTTGATAATTAATCAATTTTGTATAGTTGGAAAATGATGTAAATAAATCATATCGGAGGGCTTGAACAATTTGTTCAGATGGTATATGGACAGATTTCAAAATGACATTTATACAATGAGAAACTGGAAATTCAACATTCATGAACCAAAAGCAAAAAAAAAAAAGTTGTTGAAAGAAAAAAACAGTAAAACCTCGATTATCCAGTGTTTGGATCCTGGGGTGGCTAATGAGAAAAGCGAATCGAAAATGTTTTATTTCTATAATACAATCCATCTTTTTTCTTACATTTTAGTTCCTTCAAAACAAATCTTTGATATCCACTTTTAGCCAGATCTATATTTTTACGTCTTAATCAATCAATTACAAAATTATTTGAGCTGTGGTATATTGATAATTTTTAATCCAATTAAGAAATGATGCTTTAATATACCTTCGAAGGTTAAACGTTCCAATGTCATTAAAATATTAATTCCAGCAATTTTTTTTATGCCTCTTTTTTGTCACAACTCCAACCTCTTGTCATACGGAAACCTACTTCCTCCTCTACATTCATTTTACATAATTTAATTTTCAGTTCTGAAGATTTAAAATGATAACAATAAAAATAAAAACGTTGATCAATCCTTTATGCTTTTTTTTCTTCCTCTTACTTTCAATTTGAAAAAAAAAATTTATGTTTAGTTTATTTAAAATTTATTGGTATTAAATAAAATGTAATCACATTGTGTTAACAATTAGACAAAGAGTATATATCATATTATTATCAACTAAAGCGTTTTATTCTTCAAGTAATTGTTTGCTTTATACTTCATTCATAGATGCAAACAAATATTTGTTGGTTTGTAATAAAATTCATGTTCTATTAACCAATATGTTTCATTATTGTTGCCTATCCCCTCTCCTCTACCATTGTTAATCGAGGTTTTATTGTACATAAGAGCTTGGGTGCACCTTTCAACACATATAAAGCTTTCATGATAGAAATAGCACATGGCTACATTAGAACCCACCTCTATTCAAGACACACATAAAACATTTAACCTAAACTACCTGTGCCAGATTGTCATATCTTGGTTTTCAAGCATTAAACATTTATAAAACTATAAGTAAAACAATCACTGAAAACAGCTTTTCATTTCAACAATTACTTACTTCCATTACACAAATAGCGTCACATCAAAACTTCTAATTGAAACTTCAGACTTATTTGATAGAAAAACAAAATGAAGAAAAAAGTAATCATTAACTATGATAGAATTTAAAATTATTTCGAAATTGATCCAGATAAAAATAAAGTAAATGAAATAAGAAGATACGTCAATGAGCCAGTGATTAAAAAAACATAAATATCGAGGAAACTTTAGTATAACGAAATCATTTTTAGAAAAGTAATCAAATAGCCGATACAATAACATGGGTTAGTCTAACTGCTTATGAATTAAATTACTGTATATTTTTTACAAATAATAAAAAAATATTGGTGTTTTTAGATTACAGATGATATATTTGTTTTCTGAATCAATTTAGAAAAGAATTTTATTTTTAATTAAATTATGTATAAAATTAAATAAAGATATACGAAATTAAGTGATTGAAAAAGTTGCTTACAGGTCTTACAAAAAATTTGAGAGTGTGCTACTAAACTAAATCGCAGAAGAATTACATTTTTGTTTTTTAAATAATACAAGCAGAAATATAAAATTGAATTAAATATGATATTTGAAATATAAATACAGTGGTTTCTCACTGACCTTGATAATTCAGACAATTCAATATTCGAACCACCCTTTAAAAAAAATTTAAGATATGATTTAATGTATGTAGTACATATATACATACATTCAGTAAAATCGTATTATCAACACCTTAAGTACTGATGCTAAAATAATCAAGTTAAAAATACCAACTCCTTTTATTTAAAATAAAATCTAATCTATGTACTTATTCAAATTTGGAAATGTATTTATTTTCTCAATTTCTTTATCATCGGATATAATTAATCTTTTCATTAAATTAATCTTCAGGGGGAAATCATATTGTTAATACAGTCATAGTTTACGCTATTGAAAAACAATTAAATATGAGTTTTAAGAAAATAAATATGTGCAAACAAAAAGATTGTTTCCCAAGAAATGTTTTATTAGCTATACAACACTCGCCACCACCTCAGATTTTTCTTTTAAAAAAAATAGGTAAAAAATAAATTTCTGAACAATGATTGCTTTCGTAAAAATATTTTTATGTAGATAAATTTATATTTTTTATTTGTTCCGTAATGAAACTTTTCACTAATCTGAATTCCTTGGTTGAATTAGTTCACATTGGCGAGAGTCCATTGTATAATGAATTTTTTAAAAAATCTATCAAAAAATTGAATATTTTATCTAAAAATATAATTTTTTTCACAAGGGAAACATTAAGAATAACCCATAATTAAAATCAATTTATATCAAACGAGAATGCCAAACCAACATTAAATAAGCGATACACTTATTCGAGAATTTTGATGACATCTTTCATTGAAATTGATAATAGAATCTCTAACATAACAAGGACTGTGTTTTATTTTGATAGTCCGTAAATGAGTATAGTATAACATTATTTTGTTAACACCATTAAATCCCTTAGTATATAATATTAGAATTTACAAAGACCCCGATCCTAGAAAAACTAAGAGCAATAAAATAATAAATTGTATTCCTTTAAAAAGAACTCTTATAGATTTTATGAGAAGTGTATAAACACATTAAAATAGACCATTTTAAATAATTAAAAAAAAAAATATATATATAAATAAAATTAATTTGAACTTTCTATAAAGTTATAAATAACAATTAAACACAAAAAATAATATACATAATCAAAATTATTAATTTGATTATATAAAATGACTACTTTTATAGGTCAAATAGATAACACTACATCAATTTTTTGTAAAACTTGGGCTTTTTCCACTAAAACACAAAAAAATCTCTCAATTCAAAAATATATGGAATAAATTAAATACAACTTGAATGATAAATTCCTATATTTAATTTTATAAGCCTGGAGTTTAAGAGAAGAGAGTGAAAATGCTAATGCAGGATATTTGTGCATTACATGAGGCATGTTGACAAGTACCCCTCCCACTGTATGGATCTCCATCAGGGGCATATTGATAACGACATCTGGCTTCGGTTCACACTTCTTATCATTTTCAGGTGGGCTCTTCCTCGAATGTCCTGACTCTTCTTGCACAATTTCTTCTAACGGTGGCTAAAATATTTTATCGTAAGTCAATATTATTATATTCAATCAAAATAATACAATAATCATTGTAAATGTTTATGATAGTTGTTGTGTTGAAGCTAGAATTCTGGAGGTGAATTTTGATGATTCTTTGTGTTTTTTTTTTTTGTTTTTTCAGTGATCCACTTTTAAGCTCAATAGTATCCTGCTTTGTTTATTTTGTGTTTAGTCTTTTTGTGTGTGTTCTTTTGCAAATTTCTGATTTTCAAACCAAATTGTAATAATCAGTGACAATATTGTACACTTCTATCATATAAAATACCTTCTTGAAATAAAGAAACTAATTCATTTATTAGTAGGACTTTAATTAAATTATTTATAGTCGAAGGCTATGCTTACAGCATGCTGTAACAAATTAAGTGTTTTATATATAACTGTATTGTATGACATCAAGTTTCATGTATCTCATTCATTCATTTATTGGATTAATATTATTTTTATAAAAAAATTACAATCCAAACTTTATACTTGAATTTGTATTTGTAAAAATTACTATTCCATCATTTTATAATAATAAAAGGTTTTCCAACATCTGATTTTTAATATTTGTGCACCACGTGAAAAGGCATTAATTTAAAAAAAAAAATTGAATTTAAAATTTATTTCCTCAGAAGCAAAAAAAATTAGCCATCTTAATTTTTATAAGTTACAACAAAATATATATATATATCACTAGATAAAAGTGAAAAAGCAAATATTTAAACAAATACCTGAATATAAAGTTATAAATTAAAAATAATATACAAGTTTTGTTTCAAAACTAATTTTTCAATATAACTAATAATAATAGTATAGTGAACATCATGGATTTTATTTGATATTCATTACCTATCTGGTAAGAATATTTAAAGAAAATAACATATACAGTATCTAGTAATATCAATTTTAAAAACAAAAAACAAAGATAATTTATATAAACCCATAAATGTGAAAAAAAACATGATAAAAATAATAACTAGTTAACAACGTAGAATATCTTTCAAACAATTATTTCAGGGTATACTCTTTCCAGTACAACTTGTTACAATGATGATATTAATTTCTATGAACCAAGTCAGCCTCATAGGTTATGGGAAAACATATTTTAAGTTCAAAGTATGTGAATTCCTTTCTCTTCTTTAAAAAAAAATATTGAGATATTCTAGTAACTGTTTGAATTGAAATTGAAGTTTGATTTTATCCTGTTTTGCCTTTGCAGTACTAATTTAAAATTGTTTTTTTTTAGGCTACAGCAGGAAAAAGAAGAAATTGAATAAATTAAAAGAAAAATTCGTCAAAATGACGATAATGGCAAAAAACTCAGCTGAAATGGAAATTTTAAAGGTCAGCCTAGAAAATAAATTAGAAATAGAATCAAGAAAAGAAAACTTTTTTTCATTTTTAATGATATGGTTTTTAAAAGGGAAAAATATATACTTTTCTGCATCAAAGCATCATTTATCACATGTATATATCCTGCAGTTTACCTAAACGTTTCAGCACCAATAGAATCTTATTTCAAAAAGAAGGGGATACAAATCAGGACAGTATCTGTCATAACCAAATGATGAATAGACTATTTAAGAAGTAATAAAAAAAGTGACAAATCAGGCAGTACCGATAATGATACGGACAATATTATTAATGAATTTAGTGATGGATCAAGAGGTAAGTCCAATTCAATAATTATCAGTTTTTTCAGTAAAACCTCAATCACTAATTGTTTAATTAATGAAGGGGAATATAAAATAAAAATTAAAATAATTGTGAATTAATGGTTGGCTGCAGTGAATAATTGAAGAGAAGGATAGTTGGTATGATCAGTCAAAATAAAAAATAGTAAACATAAATAATTATATTTATTTTAATATTTGCCGACGTTTCGGGCCAAAAGTTCAGGCCTTCATTAGGACTGGTCAATCGAAGGAGTGTGGAAAGACCTTTCCTTATCCACGCTGGAGGGTTTTTCCAAGCTTGTTCGATTAACCAGCCCCGATGAAGGCCCGATGAAGGCCCGAACTTCAGGCTGAAACGTCGGCAAATATAAAAATAAATATAATTATTTATTTTTACTGATCACCCCAACCAATCAAAAATAAAAATACATTTAAAATCATAAACAATTAGTGATTTTTTCCTATATAAACATCCAACAATAGTTTTTCAAAATACTGATGACCAAATCCATCCTAATGATAATGATATTTTTTAACAAAGATGATAAATAATATATTTTTAATATAGAAAATATATAATTAGAAAGAGCCTGATAACATTTACAAAGTATTTTTTTAGTATATTCTGAGTATATTTAAACCCAATTAACCATAAATTTAAATTATTTGAGTTACTATCACAACCTCCCTTGCAGGAGTGCCCTCCCATTTCCCTCAAAGCCGATGGCGCATAAACCTTTTCCTAGCCCTCCCAAGAATTTTATTCTACTCATCATCTTAAAAATAGTGCAAATGAAAGTAGAATTTGAATATTCATAGATTATATACCATTACATATCCTGTGGTCCTTTCCATGATTCCACTTGTCTTTTGATTTGAAACTTATCATTTTGAAAATTCATAAGACTGTCGAAATGTGCCCCCTAAAAGTTGAAAACCCCATCAAAAGGTGCCCCACTCATTAACTTTGATGGCGCAACTTAAACCCCCATAAAACCCCTTCTGGGCATCCCTGCTCCCTTGTGTAACCAAAGTTATTAAAATTTCCAAAAACAGAAGATTCAAAGAAAAAACAAAATTAAAATTACACCTATATTCAGTTTATCAAATAAATTAAAATTGTTTAAAAAAAAAAAACATTAAAATTTTAAGAATATAAAAATAATTTGTTTTAATACTTGCTTTTAAAAAATTGAAATGTATTAAAACAAATGAGATAAAACTAATGCCAAAATGATCTTAATTAAATCCAGTCTAAATGCAGTTAGATTAACTTGGATACAATGAATGTATTGATAAGAGTAGGTGTTTATTTTTTTTATACCATTAAAATAAGCAAAGCAATCTAAATAATGTAAATAATTAAAAAGATTCATAATGCATAATGATTAAAACACTATGAAAAAGCATTAAATTTGAAAATGCATGTAGAAATATTTAAAAAATAAGACTATATAAAATTAATTTAAATTTAATATACTCACATCTGGAGGGTGTGCTAGATTTTCTTGAGCAATATATTCTATAAGTTGGTGAGCGAGTTGATGCCAAACAATAACAAGTTCACACTGGATACAGTCATTTTTTGTTTGGCCTTCGCAGCTGTGAGGAATCAACCAAGAAGCACACATCATTGACTGGAGAAGTCTGCAAACATCTTGTGCGATGACTGTATGAATCCCAGTATGTTTTTCAATTTCATGTCTTTCCAACTTACAAAAAAAAAAATAAATAAAACAATAATTTGATATTTTTTTCTTTTCTGGTGGTTTTGCTTTTTCTTTCTGTACATGTAATTCTTTCTTTTTTTTTTTTTTTTTTCTTTTTGATATTTTCTCCAGTACAATTATAAGTATAGTTGAGAAGATTTTATTTTATTTTTTAGTTGTTTACTTACTATTATTTAAGTTGTTGTATATATGGTCTGAATCTTTATTAAGTTAGTTTTTGGCCAGATATGTATTTTTTCTTTTGTAACTGTTCGTTATTGTTATTCTAAGGGGACATCATCCCAGAATAAAGTTTATTTTCTATTTATTGCTAAAGAAATTCTCTGTCACCAAACATTTATCCTCATACTTTGATGCATCCCCATAATTTTTCTATTATTTAAAGAGCTTTAACCCTTTAACTCTTTGAAGGACACCGATTGATTTATCAAAAACATTGTCACATTCACTCTATCTTGGTTTTTTAAAAGAAACAGAAGCTGTGTTTACCATATTTAAGGCCACTACCTTATAGCTTGAGTCCCATATTTATCAACAGGTGTATTTCTAGTTAATTAATTATGTGCTATCTTATCAATTAGTTTTTTTAAGCTAAAATTTTAAGTGTAGTTTTGGTGATATGTTGACTGCATATTTATTCAAGAAAATAAAAACACTTTTTTAATGGTCAGATGTGGTGATAATTAAGAAATACATCATTCCAGTCTCAGCCATAAAACACGACGTTCTTTTCAGTAAGCCTAATATTGTGACTTTGAAAATTAATATCTTTTGAATATATCATAATAGAACACTCTGGTTTCGCCAAAATCTACACACATAGAATAAGAATAATAAAAATAATAAAAACCACTCATATCCACATTGGTGAGTCCTCCCTACAGGTCCATGGCCGCAGGCCTGTCCCTAAGACAGACACTGCAGGTAATGAAGTGTGTGAGATAAAATTTACTGCGGCCTACTGTATTTATGAAGCATTAGTTTTCAAATACTAAATTGATTTAATAAAGTTTCTTACTTGTTTTAAAACTAGATCAAGCATCAAAACACAACATGAGAGCTTTAAGTCAACATCACCCGTCAAATTTGATACACGAGAACCATGTTCTTCATCATCAGATAAAGCAGAACAAGGACCAGAATCATCTTCAATTACAGGAGCTGCAATAATAAACATAATCAATAATTTCATAAGGTGTAACATTAAATGAATCATTAATAGGGAAGAATTCATACAAATACTTCTTGGCTCTTTTCCATTTTTTTTCTCTAACATGGATTCTTTGTTAGCAGCATCACTTAACTTCATGCTGTTGATACCTTCTTCGAAGAAGGAAAATAATAAATGAGTAGGTATCATTATCTCTAACATTGTCAAAACCTGTAATGTGGATGGTAAAATTATTAAATAATTTTGAGTTGAATCAACAGTGGTACATTAAGGGCAGCATTCTGGCTGTCTCGAGAACAAGTACTATTTTCAGATTTATCGAGCCATGAATTCTCATACACAGATTGATATGCTTTTCTAACAATATTATAGATGTTGTTAAATAACAGACAGCATATTAACTTCAAGCAATATTGTAATCCATCCTACAGACCCCTTTTTATCAAATTATTAATATCTGCCTCAAACTTCATGAATAGCTTTATCTTATCTTAACCTACAACTTTTTATTTATGAAAATTCTCGGAATTGGGGAGTTTTAAATCTGCAGATAGACATACTTTGTCTATTTAATTAGGTATTAAAAGCTTATGAACACCTGTTTGCTTTCCACTTGAATGGTAAAATGAATCTTGATCACAAAATCGAGAAACCAGATGTCCTACAAAAATATTGGGCCGTTTGATGTGACCTCCAACCTCCAACATATCATAAAATAATGAGGTTATTTAGGCCTAATATTTATGTAGGCCACGTTTTATTTCGAATTTGTGACCAAATTATCTTACGATTCAAGTGGAAAGCAAATGGGTATTTATGAGTTTTAGTACTTAATTAAATTTAAAAAAAAAAATTCTGTCCCACTTCTGAGAATGTTTGTAGAAAACAAATTTTAGGTTTTATTTTCTGATGTGGGGATACAACGCGGCCTCATGGAGGCCTATTGTGGGTCGTCCTAAACTCTATTAAAACAGACCAGATACCTTCTCAACCTTGTCAATATTAATAGAATTTGTTAGTTCACAGAGTTTAAAGTCAGTGATACGATCACATCCAAAGTGAAAGTATCGAAGTCAAGAAAAATCATCACATCTACAAATAATGTGACAGGCTGTTTTATTCTCCAAGCCACACAACCTGCAGGTGGAAGTCTTGCTTACGCCCAAGTTAAAGAAGTGCTTATTGAGTCTTGTAGGTTTGTATAAAATAAAACCATTCACAAACTTTTAGACGGATTATAATAATTTGACAACATGCTGTACCATGGACTATTATTTACTAAATAACACAAAGCCTTCAAAAATAAAAAGTCTACTTTTAATTTTGAAAATTAATTACTGATTTATATTGAACAAATTCAATGAAAAAATGAATTACCTGTAACCACCTAAGCGCCTGCTCTTGAACTTTTGGGCTTGTTCCTTTAAAACGTACAGCAACAAAGTGATACAGCTTTTTAGCATCAAATCCTAGAGGACTCATGTCAGGATCCAATATTTTGCTGAAATTACAAAATAATAATTTCAATAAAAACTGTGTAAAGAGAAACTTATTTCTTTGGTATTGCTATAACTCTATTCATAGTTCATAGGCCATAATTACCACTATAATTCTGGAAAGATCAGTCTCCATAACTTTGTGACATATTTTGAGTTTTTTCATCAGAAAGTTAAAATTAGACATTTTGCTTTATTTTATGGAAGAATATTATTTTTAATTTATGAATTGAAACTTATTTTTATCAAGTACAAAATATTTAGGGAACTTCACTCCTTTCATTTTTTACCCTATCATGAGCAGGATGGGCCTCAGCACCTCTGAAACCTTTATGTAAGCTTCCTCACATTTATGGCTCATATCCTCAATAAATTTCTTTAAGAACTACAGAATCTCAAATTTTGGAAGACCAGACGTCAAGGCAAACTAAGGCAAGACTATATATTTGATTAGGCTGGTGTAGACCAACACCTCATAAACATGGATGATGACAAAGGCTGATGAGAATAGCCTCCTTATATTCGAACGGAAAATTTTGCGATGAATATACTGAAAGAAGGAGATGTTTGGAAGAGACGAAGAAACCAGGATTTATACACTCTGTATAATGACTTGAATGTCATCGACTTCATAAAAATTGGAAGGTTAAGTTGGGTCGGCTATGAGATTCGGATAGAGGAGGGTGATATTCCCAGAAGAGTCCTTGGGGTTAGGATTGACCACACCAGGAGGAGAGGCCGACCCAGGCTAAGATGGATAGATAGCGGCTGCTGATTCCAAGATACTACTAGCAGCACCGAACTAGAATGCAGCGGCAATGGATCGATCTGGTTGGCGGAAACTCCTAAAGGAGGCCAGGACTCACCCCTGGGTTTTAGTGCCAATGAGAGAGATAGATAGCCGTCTTACTGCTTCTTTTTTTTTTAGTCACATTCATTCTAAGCTGTATGCCACATTCAGGTTTAATAATTAAAGATTTCATTTAACTTTCAATCATATTAGACTTTCACATCACCAAAAATAGTTCTATTTGCAGAAACCATTAATTTTCCATGCTCTTATTACAAAGTATTCATTTATCAAGAAAACCAATATTTTATAAAAATTTAGACATTATTTCAAAATATCAGGTCATTTCGAAGTAAATAGATTTATGTTTTAGGTATAATTTATATTTAAATAAAGTTACCTCAGGAGCATTTTAAGTTCATATAATTCTCTATCAGGAACATCTCTGACAACTGCTTCCAGCCAATGAGGCATCACAAAGTCCCACACATCAGTGGTAATTACTTCATATGGCACAAGGCAGAATAATCTATTTAGTCCATTTTTAAGGTGTGAAGTTTTGGAAACTAGCATGTCCCTTAAAGTATTAAAAATATTAAACAATAAAATCAACATAAATATATTTTTTTGTATCATAAATTAATTCTAATCTTTAATCAATATTAGATTTGATACATTTCAACAAAGAATTTTTAATTATATCATATCAAGGATTACCAAACAAATAATGTCAGTTAAAATGTCAATTTCAAAATAAAAAGTAAAAAGTCAAAGTCAGTCAAAAAAAGTCAGTTATTTTATATAGAACAAAATGCAAAAACTTACCAATGTCCTCCAACTCTAGCATATTCTGGTGGATGAGGTAAAAGGCACGATACAAACACACCAAAATGTGTTTGACAAACTTCATTCATCCAATTGCAAACATAATCTGTTTTCAAACGTTCAAGTGTACACTCAGCTTGATCTGTAAAAATAAATAAATATTTACATCGATATGATCTATATTTTTGTTAATTAATTTTTTTTAAATTCTTTATACTAAATTTAAAAACATTTTTAAATCATTGAAATTAGCTCACTTAACACTTTACATTACAGGTTAATTCCCTAGAAATTAATTAGATCTCTTGATTAAGTTAACACCTGAATAAAACTAACTTTGAACAATTTTTTTTTAAACAGAAACTGCTACATCCTTTTACTTTCCTACCTATCCTAGGTAAGGACAGTATTACGATCGGGTCAAATTTCTGATGTGTGGTTTTTGATGGATCTATACGTTTCAGAGCCTCCTGAGTCCGAAAAACAGATTTTAAGCTATTGGTCTGCCTATCTTTGCCAAGATTATCTTGGGAACTAATAGCCCGATTTTGTTGCTTTTTTTTATTTTGTATGGTACAAAACTATATAAAAATCGTTCATTTCTGACAACTATTACCGAAGATACAGCAAATTCAGTGTCTTATGTAAGATTATGAATTCAATTCTCTGTGCCAGAAAGGGGAGACAAAAAGAAAAAGAAAAGAAAAGTAAGTAAAAGTTAAAAAATCTAGTGCCTGAATCATACAAGTTTCACTATTTCCTCTACTTTTAACAGAAATTATCTTCTGCCAAAATTGGGCTATGTCAAAAAGTTTTTGATTAGCTATATTAGAGGGTATTGAATTTTTTACAGTGATATTTCACAAGTTGGTTTACATTGCTGTAGTTTATCAAAGAAGTCATAATCAAATATTTTCTTTGATTAATTTTCAGGAAAATAAATCTAATTCAATATATTTTATTTTATTTTTTTGTTTTTCTTAATGGATACATTTTAAGGTATAAAAACTTTTCTGAAATAGATAAGAAAGTCGTGTCAGTGGACATACCAAATATGTATATTCTTGAAATACTTTTTACCTAGGTCAGTTGATATTTAAGTTTGATGGCCCTAAAAAATAAATTTTGACACTCACATTCTGATTTAATCACAGCAGCAATCTCTAGGAGCCACAGAGAAATTGGAACAAATGGGGAATGAAAATGGAACAAAAAGGTTCACTTGTTGGACTAGCTCCCTGCTTATACCAATATATGACACCTCAAATAGAATGATGAGTATAAAACCTAATTTATTACCATACTAGGTAGAAAACAAAATATAAATCACATAGAAAGTAAAAAGCCTTTGTAAGAATCTAAAAAGTAGATACACCACCCTAAATCTTTTGAATGGCAAGTTCCTAACCATTTAGAGGATGATTCATGTCAGGATTATCTAATCCCAGAGTTATTCTCGTTGATAAAACAGAAAATAAATTTCAAATAAATAAAAACTCAAAACACAGTCTAAATGCTCGGGCACACAGCATGCGATCTGGCAATCAAGTAATTTTACCGTAGGCATACAGAGCGCAATCTTCCACAAAGGGATTGTAGATTTCCATGACAAATTGCATACTGTTAGCATGAACCTTAATTTTCCATTTATTTGCTCCTCAAATACCTCGAAGCCTGCAATAGCGACTCATCACTCTATTTTAATAAAACTGGAATACCAATGACTTCCAGCAAACAATGATTTACTAATCTGTTTCTCAGTGATCTGTAGGAGATTCTTCAAGGTAAAAATAATAATAATTCCAAAGAAAAAATAAATTTCATATGTATTTTAAGAAATAAACTAAAAAATGACAAACAATATAAATATAACAGTCATTACCATCAAATGTGTATGCTGTGACATGAAACCAATGAAAGAGCATAGACAAAAGCCTTCCTAGGATTTCATTGGATGTATTCTCATTTGGTGAACACAGACCAACCAACAGCCAAACTCCAAATCTACCTAATAACTGCCTCTCATCCATGCTTAGTGAACTTGACTGAGTCAAGGCATTTAACAAAGCAGCCTTGGCTTGTATATCAGTCATGTCTTTTGGAATTTCAGGTGTCGTAGGTCTGGCTTCCTTCAGTAAGCTGTAAATTAGAGAGTGAAATTGAAAAAACGAAGAATGATATAATGAAATTCTAAGTCATGCAAACTTTAAATCTGTGAAGAACTTCTAGAATAAACAAAATAATAAATATACAAATCTTTCAATGTTCATGGGTTTCTTGAAAGATTGAAAAATTCTGCAAATTTCAAATTTGTGAATATATAAAGAAACTTCCAGCTTAATAAAACGGATTAAGTTTTGTAAAATTTTTATTAAAATCCATAAGTTTCAAAAATAAAAAGCCAGATATTTGAACAATGAGTATTAGTTGAAATTTCTTTCTATTATATCAGTGATGCATTTTAGTTCCTTAATTGTTGCCCATTATAATTTATGTTTTGTACATATTTTTTTCCTTGCTCATTTTTATGTTTTGATGCTTTATATTCAATGTTCTTTCATAACCTGTTTTTTATATTTAAGTGTACTAGACAACATTGTAATAATGGTGTGAGAACAATGCAAAACCTTGGAGATACCTTAGGTACTGGCATGTTCATAGCATTTTATTCTATGGATTTATTACATAAAGAATGGTGCCATAAATGAATAGAAAAACATGTGATTATAAAATACTTACATGGCCAGTAAGTGTTTATTAGTCATTAAGCTTTTAGTTTTTTTTTTGTCCTCCCCTTCTTCGCCTTTTAGGCTATATGGAGGTTTTCCTAGGCCAGTGGGTAAGGGTGGGGGTTTATGGCAGAGTTAAAAGATCCCTTTGGCACTAGGACGCGAACTCAATATTATTTTTTAACATAAATCTTCTATCTGGGTTGCCAGGCAACACGTAGTGCTGTGTTTAGTAATAAATTAATTAAAAACATGTTTATTTTATCTGTGAATAACTCAGTTATGCATACACGAATTTTAAATGTTCTTAAACAGTTTCATGTATGTTATTTCCACAAATAGTACAAAATTACTGAGCACATAGAAATCAATACCTGACAATAGCTTCAACTAAATACACAAGCATATCTGGTGTCATCGTCCAAGCTTTCGGTAGACAAGTATGAACCATATGATCACCACCTCTTCTTTTATTATGTCTACTAGCATCACATTGGGCACAAAACCTGATTGGATGGTTACCATTAAAACTTGCACACTCGGAAGAAAAACAAATAGAGACTATGCTCTTGTCAGAGGAACGGCAGTTCTGTAATAGGAAAATCACTTAATTAATTCAAAAGGAATAAAACTAAAATTATTAGTGATTTATTTCATAGTAATGCGAATTGATTCAAAATATGTAAAAATACTTCCAAGTCTATTTATAGAGATCCACTTGGACAAATAATAATTGTATAAATAATAAATAATTGAATTTATAAAGGGTGTCCCAAAATTAACAAAAGATTTAAATTAAATACATAAAACAGTTCTTTCTTCTTTTGATTTAATTTTTTTTGTCAATTTAAAAGCTGATAGTTCAGGGTTAGTAAAAATGGAGTGTTTTACGAGCGGACAACGTGTTTTCATTTTTGAACAATATTTTAAAAACCATGAAAGTCTATCGGCTACAGTTCAAAAATTTCCTACAAAATACTTGATGATAAAATATGGTTGGAATAGTGATTTAACTTCATAAAATTTGAAGGGACTGATTGAAAAATTCAAGCAGACTGGATTAATTGGTGATGTTAAATACACTGGTCGTTCTGAAACAAGGCATTCGAGTGTCAATATCAAAGCAAGAAAAGTGGCCGTAAGACTTTCATTATTTTAAAAATATTTTACAACAATAAAAACATATTGTTCGCTAGTGTAACGCTCCATTTTTACTAACCCTATACTATCAGCTGTTAAATTGACTAAGAAAAAGAAAACAAAAGAAGAAATAACTGTGTTTTATATTAAATTTAAGTCTTGCGTTAATTTTGGGACATGCTATACAATATTTAATTGAATGTTATTTGATTTACTAAGGATAGTCCATTAAGTAAGAAAGAAATATTGAAAAAAATAAAAATAACCAAGTCAAGAAAGATAATGCAGCCGGGTAGCACCTTTTTATAATATTAATATTTCTAAAAATTGGAGTATTAATATTAAAAGAGAATTCCTTTTAAAGCATTAATAAAATTGAAACCTACTTTGTAACCCATTAATTATTATAAAAGTCCCTATTAAAAAATATTTGATATATAATAAAAACATTGTTATCAAACCTTATTTTCACATGTAACAGATGTTTGTTGCATAGGGTGCAATATGTCATAAAACATTTGATTGGGATGTTCACGGTGGATTTCATTGGCACATTCAATGCACAAGTATAATGGCGGAGGTGAATCTGTTGCAAATGTAATAGATATACAATGATCGTAACAAACTTTGGAAGCTTCTGCTGTCCCAGAATTCGGGCACATATCTCTTTGACACAAAAATGGAACCCAATCTAGATTAATAATATAAAATCAAATGAAAAATTGCTCAGTCATTTAATTATAATATATATGTAAATATATAAATATATTACTAGTGAATTTAGGTGGTATCCCTTTTCTTTCAAATAAACTAGAGTTGAAAGTAGGCCAATAATAAAACAACAATTTAGCAGCAGATGCTCTAGCAGTAGACGTACCATGTGCTATCACGCAGAGCATATCTTTTACCAAATTTTGCTTCATGGACATTAAACATTCTAATATTTGGCAATGATGAGCTGAAAGATATAATAATAGGGAACAAAGTAATTACTATAATGAAAGTTATCACTTCTAATAAAGTAAAAGCATCTTTTATATATAGTTACCCATGTCTTCAGAATATTGAAAAATCATCATCAAAACAGCTGGTACAGACTGACTCGCATAGGTTTCTTTACCATCTGGCGTAACTCTGGCTGAAATCATTGGATAGTCAATTGAACCTACTAAAACTGTGTGTGTTCTATGTCACAAATTAAAATTCAAGTTTAAAGAAACAAACTAATTTTAAATTACAATATAGCAAAATAAATTCAACAAAAATTAAGCCTACTTATAAAAAGAATAAAAAATTATCATCTGCTCACTAATAGTGAAAGGTAAAATGTAGAAATATAATGAATGGACAATTTCCTGATGCAGTATATTCGGTAAAACCGCCATTGTTGACGCAGTAAGGTAAGGTAAAGTGTCAATCATGTCACTGTCTAAAAATGGCATTAGGCACCCTAAACATTGCAATAAAGCTTCTCCAAAAGCTAAAAAAAAAATAAGAATACTTATTAAAAAATATATTAATAAATAAATTTAATGATCCTGAAAAATTTATACACATACTTTGAAGTCCATACTGAATTGCTGAAGCCACATCAACTAATTCTACTATAGCATTATATAGACCTTTATAGTCCAAGTTGGGGTACAAAGCCAATCGAGTTTGATCTCTTTCAGGATATTTCAACATTTCAATTGGCGAATTAGGAACATCCTTAAGAACAGCTTTAAAATAAATTTATTTTAATTAAATAACTTTTCTTTGGTGCAATAGAGCAGAATAGTAAAATTACATACTTAACAATGTCTGAGAGAAATATTTAATGGTATTCGCAATTTCTAGGCCAGATGGTAAAGGAATCACATTATGAAGCAAACGCAAATGATAATCATGAATGTTTCTGATTTTGGAAGCAACTAAAAATTAAAAATAGAATGTTTTAACAGAGTATAAAAATAGTCATAAAGAAACACAAAACATTGATGAAAAGGTTTAAAACTAAATATTTGCAGATAAAGGACGAAATTCTTATTAAAAAAGAAAGTTAAGAATAAATTATTTCTTGATAATCCTAAGATTTCCTGGCAGTCTACAAAAAACATGTGTATTAACAAAGGTAAAAACGAAAATAAAGAAATTTTAAAATACAGAACTCAGACATTGTGTTTGCTGACATGAGGTCGGAAAGGAGAGCTGCTACCTGTCTTCCAATGAACCAATCCACCAGTCTTCCCACTATCACAGCAGCTCCTCACCAACAAAAAGGAAGAGCTTGGTATACCAATTAGTGTTTGAGGATGTGATGATGGAGTGAATCAAACCATGAACTTTAGTATTTTTTAATCAAGCCAAGCTGGTTCGAATAGAGCCTATGGCAGGTTAAAATTTATTTTGTGGTGAACCCAAAGAATGAATCTCAACCAATTTAAATTTTAGTTGGAATAGGCTTTGGTTGTACTTATAGAACGATCCTCTATATGCCAGAAATGGCGAGGTAGTGTGTAATAGAAAAAAAAAAACTTACTAGCATAGCTTAGTTGCCAATGTTGGGATAAGTCTCAGAAAACTGGTATTACTTACAATGGTCTTATTAACTTATCGAACAATACTTCTGCTGACACACCACGAGTTATCCTGGCCACCACCTATCCCATAGTACCATTTTCAGACTGTTTAGTCCCAGAAGACATCAATTGTCACTGGTACTAGGCAAGCCCCTATGGTTCTCTTATTCCTAGGTAAAATGGAGGATACTCTTCCACTAAACAAAGGGGGAGGGCTGGTTCCTTACTGGAAATAAAAGTTAAACAGTTGAGGCTTATCTACTTTACTTTTATTATTTGTTATTTTAACAACATGAGGCTTTTGTTGAAGTAAAACTCTTACTTGGCCAAAATGACTACTGCATAATTTTCTAAAATTATTAAATGGCTTGGAGGAAACTGATACACTTGGATCCATTCTTCTGCTTACTGATCGCCTTATACTGATGACAAAAATGCTTCTGTGTCTCACTGTATTATCTTTAAAATCATTTCATTTGTGAATTTCAGTTAACTTATCTTGAAATCTAATAAATGCAATAAATTTGAATAGGCTTGAGATAGAAGGATTAGTATAGTGCAATCAATCTTCTGTCACCTTAAGACCATAACACTGCCTTAAATTTTTACTAAGTATTAGACATTTTGAAATTCCAAAAGTGTATTATATTTTCTCTAACCTCAACTCTGCATATCAGTTTGTATTGTAAAAATTATATAAAAACACAGAAGATATATATAAATACCAAGTTTACTTAAAAACAGAAGTAATTTAAAGGTAATATAGCATATAAGGTAGCATATAATATATTTGGTCATTTTAAATTAAAGTGTCAAGCAAATTGTTTTAATAATGCAATTTTAGCACAATATGAGGTAAATCTAATATGAGAGACCTGTTTTAAGATAAACTATTTAATATTAATAAAATTTGAGATGGAAATAAAGAAAGCTGGTACATTATTAATAATATAATATAGATTTATAAATATCCCATCTTTCAAATTCTTAACATGAAATAAGTTTTAATATATTTTAACTGTATATTAAATATTAAAATTGTTTATTTTAATTTTGAATGACATTCCATAAATTTTTTTTAATGGAATTTACAACTGTATTACATACAGAATACAATAAGTAAATGAGAAATTTGTAACATGGCATGTACAACATGAAGAGAAACTACCCATTGGTAGAACTCAAATTCCATAAATTAATAAAAATCATAACTCTAAATAATAAATCTAAAAGTGAACTAAACCAGGAAGGAACCCAGATGAATATAAAAATAGTTTAATAAGCTTCAATGAATCCTACCATTTTTTGTAATTTCTAAGTGACCTGTATTGCAACATATACAAATTTTGATATAATGTATTTAAGGATGATAGATAATTTTAACAAATCTGCTATTAAAAAAATCATATGGATATCATTGGAATCAATCTTGATAAGGACAAACATTTCATGGTATACTTCATAGTCTGAAGAAATGCATTCTTGACTAAGAGATGTCTTTAATTCCTCAACAGTCTACTAGGTTTAATTCAGAAAGAAACAAGGCACTTACATGCTGCAGCTCTAGTGCCCATGATAGTGGTATTAATCTTGGGATATAACTTCTCAATGTTTGATATAAAGATAATAGAAAATGATTAGATATTACATATTTTTGATGGGAAAGAGTTTGGAGCGGAAAAGGAGTAAATAATATAAGAGATTAAATAAAAGGTAGAACATAATAAGGACTGAGATGAGTATTGATTGGACAGGATGCGCCCTGTACCTGGACCACAACCAATAGCAAAAGCAGTGTTGATACTTACTTACTTTACTACTTTTAAGTATATTGGAAAATAAAAATCTAACAATGAAAAATCTAAAATAAATCTCTAATTGAATAAATACAGTGTTGGTTATTTTTTCATATTCATAAAACTTTGAAGATTATATAGATTATTATTATGTAGAATTTGAAGATTCGCACATCACTTCTAAAATAATAGCCTTTGTGACAATTTTTTTTATTAATATTTGTCTAGTAATTTCTCATTTATTAATTGAGTTTATTATAAAATAAATAAATCATTTAAAATACAAAAACCTTACTGTGGAACATTGTTGTTTTGAAATTAGTTTTTAGTTGGGAAATACGGAATGAAACGGGTGATTCAATATCTCTTGGAAAGTCAACAGAATCAGATAAAAAGATTATAGAAACTTAGAAAAATAGATCGGTTTATGTATCATTTGATAAATTTTCTGTGGATATATCATTTGATATAAAGCCAATTAGCTTATTTCTAATCTATAATAAAATCCTTTTTAAACGAATCCCAAAACCTTTCGCAGTAACTCGGAATCCTAAAAAAAAATAAATAAAATATTCAGATAATTTATTAGAATTTGTAAGTAAATATATATCTTTTGGCCCACTGGCGGATCCAGGATTTCATTTTGGGGGGCTTCAGTCCGAAAGCTTTTTTTTCATAAAAATGACGATAATTACTTTGGAAAACAAGAAAGAAATTAACTATCTATATGAAATGGTGTTTTAGTAATTCCCTAAGTCCTTTTAAATGTAATTACACGAACAATAATACTTTAAGAGATAATTTTTTAATATTTTTTCCACAAAACATGATTATATTTTACCATTTTGGGGGGAAGGGGCTTCAGCCCGAAAGCCCCTCCCCCGTAGATCCGCCCTTGTTTTGGTCTAGGGCCTTCGTGAGAGTAGGGCGATCGAAACGAGAAGCAGTGGCGGAGGGGGCGTCTCAGCTAGGTGACAAAATTGAAATAATATATAATAATCATGCAGATATTTATATTTCTGCCAAAATTTCACTTTATAATGCATTCATATGCACTTCTGCTAGACCTTACACTGAATAGTAGAGAAGCAAGAAATATAAAGTCTTTCGATTCAAAATCTTTTTTTGAGAAAATTGCAAAAATGTGTTTAGTCTAGTCAGGTTAGCCGATTTTGACGAAACAGTTGCTGTAATATTCTTAGCATATAAAAACCTTAAATATACAATTTCACTACGACTTTTCGATTTTGAGCTAGGCTGTTAACACACACACACACACACACACACACACATACGCATACACACCATTTTGCAGGACTTGGTTATTTGGACCCTGGGGACTTCAAAACGTGTATTTACGTTGAAAACAGATTCGAAATTTTTCACGAATATTTTCCCTTACTATATATTTCATATATAGGTAAGTGGAAGTAAAAAAAAAGCTTTCGAACTGAAGCCTTCCCTCCCCTCCAAAAAAAATATTAAATTCTGGATCCGCTAGTGATTGGGTCGATGGTCACATACAATACTTTTTGTATATTTGGATTAATCAAGAGTGTATTCTGGATTTAATCGTTTTAAATCAAACTAAACTAATGAAACTGAGAATCAACTAAATATATTGTTTAAGGAAGTTAGGAAAATGTTAGTTTCCTATTTTATGATTTTGTTCATAATAAAGGTTAAGGATACGACATATATGCTGTGCTCAGGCGGATCTACGGGAGGGGGGGGGCCCTTTCGTGAAGCCGCCCCCAAAATGGTAAAATATAACCACGTTTTACAGAAAAAAATATTAAAAACTATCTCTTTAAGTATTCTTGTTCGTGTAATTAATTACATTTAATAGGACTTCAAGAACCACTTCAACACCATTTCATATAGGTAGTTAATTTCTTTCTAATTAATTATCGTTATATGTATTATTTTATTTCAACTTCACTTCCCCACATTTCCGTAGTCTAATAATGTATTTGTCTTAAAACCTACAATTTTCGTTTCATCCTCTTTTCATTACATAATTATTGCGATTTCTTGCATTTGTGAACTTTCAGAAATATTTATTGGAAAGAAAATGAAAGTTAGAGAATGGGGGAGTTCTTTGAGCCTCAGTGTCTGGGAAAGTTCCCCAAATGTTTCTTTCACCCTGACTCAGATAGATGACAAATTTTTATTTCAGTTCTAGCTGTTTAATATATATATATAAATAGCTTTGAAATTTATCAGAGATGGGTGACATCATAATGGTATATTTTCGTTTAATAGGTATAAACTGCAAACATAAGAAACTTTATTTTCTTAACTACTGGGCCAATTTAGATGAGTGAGGGGGCACCAGGTAAAATTTCGCCCTGAGTGCTTTTAAACCACGCGACGGCCCTGTTCAACATGCAAGGCTGTAAGAAGGGTGAGACAAGGAGGTTGTCACGGAAAAAAATTAAGTACTTTATATTATTTTTTAATAATTAAAAAGTGATTCAAAATGTTTTGAACATTAGTAGAAATGTAGAGGTATGAAACTTGCAAACAAGAGGAAAATAGACCATTGAAAGTTTGGAAGTTGCCTGGCAAAATCTTGGCTTGGGTGTTAGACATTTATACTATTTTCCTATCTGTATGCACATCAACTTGTATCTTCTTTATTTACATGAATCATTGCAACCTTGAGTAATTATAATCCATTACCACTCAGTTACTACACTAAATTACATCCTTTATTAAACCTTCAAAGAGGTTCTTTGATTCAATATTGAAGCAATCAATAGAAGAGTAAAACCTATAAATTGAAATGAAATTCTATAACTTTCATACTCTAACAAAGATTTAATTCGTTCAGATATCTCGGACCTCCAGCCGTTCTGCCTTAGGCTCCATTTGTTTTATTTCGTTAATTTGTTCACGTTAATATAGCAATAGTAACAATTATTTATAAACTAATATTTGATATAATTTTGGGCCGGCAAACACCAGAATGACACAGCTTCAATGACTCATGCTATAAATATGGATAGCACAAACTGAGAAGCAGCAGAAAAAAGCACAAACTTTTTCAGGACAAAGTATGAAATTTACTAAGGTCATCTGTTGGAAATTTTATTCTAATGTTATTTTAGAAATTATGTGATAAAGCCGCTACTATTTAGGAATCTAAATATTATCCAATAACAATAAATATTATAAATTGTCTAGTAATGGGCTAAAAAGGATATTAAACCAATAAAAAATGAATTATGAGATGGTACAGTTTATATTTCAGTCAAAACAGAGTATTTTACTCTTATATAAGCTTATTATTATTATTATTACTAAAAATAAGAAACAGTCAACAAATGTAAATATTGCTTGAATAATAAATAATTGATTGAAATATGTATTTTCTCTCCATCTTAAGTAAAACATTATTTTAATGTACAGAAGTATAACATAATTAGATTGAAGTAGGTATGGAGTGAATAAAACCAGTCCAAAATCCTAAAATAGAACAATGATTCACAAAAAAGTATTTATTCACTTAGAATGCATAGGCATGCATTTAAACAAAAACATATATAATACAAATTTTATTTACAACAATCGCCCTATTATACACTATTAATAATCAATTAGATTCATGTTTAATAGAACATGAATGATCCCCAAATCTGGTAATTAAAAATATTTATCATAAATACAAAAGAAAAAAATATATTTTATTATAATAATGACCAGCTCAGAAATACATTTTGTAATTACCTGAGTATAATACAATAAAACAAGAACCACTACAATAAATCAACTGTTTTATAATGAATGTTGATAACAACAAAACAAGAAAATTAAATAAAACAATTCAACAACAGAAAAATGGTATTGCTAAAACTATGTTATGCAATGGATGCACAAATAAATCTTTGCAAATCAAACAATGATCTTGTAACAATAAATCACAATACAAGATACATTAAAGAATTCATTACAGTTCCGAAACATAATTATATAATAAGTATTTATCAAATATCAGTTGTGCTAAAACAACACTAACTAAAAAGTTTTTACATCAACATGATCTAAGTTCATAACTAAACAAAACAGAAAGAAAAACAATATTAGTTTGTAATTTGTGATTTCAAATGCTAATACTGGTTTGAAATATTCAGCTTTGATTTTCATTTAAAATAAAAAAAAAAAAAATTCGGCTCAGCTAGGAACTTGATCCCCATCACCAGTGCAGTGTAACCAGAAACTATCAACAATGTTTTCCAGCTCCTTCACCACTCTGCATCACCATTGGACTTTTGGAAAACATAGTCTTTGCCCCCAAGGTTCATAATCCCATCTTTCAAATAAAATTTCCATTTATTCCTAGTCCTGGTAATCTAGAACAAAATAACAGACCAACAATTAAAATTATTATTAAAACATACATAATCAGGAAAATAAAAAAGAAGGTCAGATTCTTAATTATTAGTTTTGGTTTACCATCAATTAATAATCAATATCTTCATAATAAATAACATAGATGGCATGGAACAAATTAGCTTATACTTAAATTAGAAAATAAGTGCTCAAATCTCATCCTAGTCCTACCAGTCATCACTCTTCTGGTATGACCTCGATGTAACCAGCTGTGCTTAAAAAGATGCCTAAGTATTGATAGGAATCTACAAATTACATAATAACCCCATTACAGGTGATTTCAGTTTTTCCAATCTCTATCACTTTGCTCTTTGCTGCACTGAACACCAACCTTTTTCGAAATAGTTCCCCTCTACATTTAATCATAGCATTTTGGTTGCTGGTTCTTCCGGCCTTATGCTCCCCAACACTAATGACCAAGCAATTCGAGAGAATTTTTCTCAGTGGAACACATTTTTTTCTCTCTTAAAAGTTGTAAATATACTATTTAAAAAAGTATCAAGCATTTTTTAAGTTTTAGAAATAATTTAACTATGATAATTAAAAAAAAAACAAAAAACAGAGCGGACGTATATGACAGCCATTGTCCATAGGGATGTTAATTCAGTTTTTATTTCCTTATTTTTACCCTTGTTAGTTATTTCTTACGTGTATATAATCACATTTCGATTATTTTTGGAAATTTAAACAAAAAAAGATCCACATTATTGCAAAAAAATATGTTTTTACCTTTGCAGGTATACTGTACTATAAAGTACGGCTGTATTTCCTCTTTTCCCTATTCAAAACCGATAGGAATAAGTCCTGTAAAAAAGATGATACACAATATGAAGTTAAATTCCAGGCATTTTTATGATAATAATAAAAAGGTAAGTACAACCCAAAGCGATAAATGTTTTCACAAGAACCATACTGTCATTCTTCACAGGTAATTTTATGTTTTAACTGTGCAACAATTCCTGGAACAAGCTTCTTTGTGGATCTCAATGGCGGGCACATACGCCCGCAGTTGTCGTTAAAGTATATTATAATTAATAAGTAATATTAATTCTGGATTCGATAGCATTGGCTACTACAAATTTGAAAATTTGTCTTTATAGTGTAGCATCTCCACACTTCCAGGATCAAAGAATTTATTATTTTATAATTAAATACAGTATCTTTAGATTAAAGATCTTTTGTTGTTGTATTATTTGTATACAAAATAAACTATAGTGCTTGTGACAATTCTGCCCTATCCTAACAAAGGTCAGTTTATGAATAAGATTGTGATTAAACCATAAGTTACCTATTAATAGATTATTGTCTGTATATAAATCTATTGGTTTTCAACTATTATTATTTATGACAGTTTCTTCAACAAATGGACAAGATGCATAACTATATTGCCCATTAATGCATTAAGGTCTCCTGAAATTATAGTATTTCTATGTTCGCTTCTAATGGAGTTTTCTGTTCTTTACAGTCCACCGTATGGAACTGTTGATCCTCAACCTTGAATTATTGTCACTTTCCAAACTTTTCATTCCAGGTCTGCTGGTATGATTCTTAAATCATACCAGCATCATAAATGGTAAGATGATAATTTATACAATATTAGATTAATTTGGATAACATTCAGTTTATGTTGCAGATGGTTGGTCAGCTTTGATTATTGATTATATTTCTTCCTTGACAGTACTATATTGCCAACACTGTTTGGCTGATGGCATGCTTGCTGAGATGTGATTTGATAGACGACTGGCTGATAAATTCTCTGGTCTGCTGCCGGCTCACAAGCGACATAGTGATTAACTCAGAAGATGGCTAAAGAGTGATGCTTGCAGTGTAGTGTTGGTTGTCTCTATTACTTCCAATCGATCAAACATATTTTATAGACGGGTAAATAGTCGACTGATAAATTATATGGATGAAACTTTGATAATTGATGTGTAAAAAGAGTAAACAATAATCATGAGTTTGCTGCCATTGTACACTAAAATATGTTTGAAACAAAATTTTCATGACTTTCAACCAGACAAGTAGGTTGAAATGTCAGCTAACCCAATAAAAATATCTTGGCTAAAATTCCCAAAATTTTTGTTTCAAACATATTTTAGTGTACAATGGCAGCAAACTCATGCTCATTGTTTACTTTTTTTACACATCAATTATCAAAATCACAACAATATGTATTTGTACAAATATTCATTTTTAATTTTCCAGATAAAATTCTAATTTACTTTATATTGATGTAAAGCAAAAGCAGTATATCTGAAGAAGTGATTGGGTTTGAAATTACGGTTAGAGATGTAAATTGGATAATTTCTTATTTCAAATTGATTGTATTATGTTAAATTCAGTTTACTCTGTAACTGTAGCTATTACTATACAATGTTAATGAAAAAAATTACTAACAAAAAATCATGATCACCAAAATTTGCTGATAGAATATTGCCCTGGATATATGTGATATCAAAGATGCCAATATAAATTAATGATATGAAGTAACATTCAATAAAATATTCGTACAGATATAAAACGTTAATAAGTGCCTTATCATACTGACAGACTACAACATTGTCAGTAGTAATATATGTAATAATCCAAGAAGCTAAAATAAATTAATGATGCTAAGTAGCATTCAACAAAATATTTGTTATATATTAAATAACTTTAATAAATACCTTATCATACTAACAGACTACACAACATTGTCAATCTTAATATATGTAATATCACAGATGCCAATATAAATTAATGATCCGAAGTAGCATTTAACAAAATATTTGAAGAGATATAAAACTTTAAATAAATACCTTATCATACTGACAGACTACAACATTGTCAGTCTCAAACATTTCAGATGGATCTTCTTCACTAACATCATCACCTGAATTCAATGGTTCCTAAGACAAAATTTAGGGATATTATTAAAAATTTTCAAACCTAAAGAACTAAATCAATTCACTTTTAATACCTATTAACGAATCAAAATATAAATACTATATAATGGGTCTTAATGCGACACCGTACAACTATCAAACGTTTTATAAGAGATAGAAAATTTTAATTTTAATTATACTGATAGGTTTTGTTTTCTTTTGTTTTTTTTTTATTGCAAATGGAAAACTTGCCATTGAGTAGAGAAAAAATTACAACTAAGGTAAGCGCACCAGTGATGGAAATAGCTAAGAAATTTGTTGTCAATTTTGTGTTACACCGCCGTAATTATTATAAACTTCTCCGTTGGACATTTAGAATCTCTAGGGTTTCCTTTTTCTATTTTGATACTTTAAAATTGAAAAAAATATTCAGATATGCAGGTATAATCTCCATTAAAAACAACACCTCTTTTTTGCACTAATGATGGATACACCGAAATTCAATTGTTCTAGTAATGGACAGGGAGTCGTTACCAGTAAAAAGTATACCTCAGAAAAATTCTAAAATCTTTATAAAGATAATGATAAAGATAAGTCAAAATAAATGTTCAACTTACTCTCAGCAAAACAGTTAATATGAAGGCATAAAATACACTGATCTCAAGAACACTATAGAAACAATAATAGGCATTTTAAAATTTTCTTTTGGGAACTTTGTTCACACACTTGAACTTTGCCCTCTTCCTCCTCAATAGAGGGCATCATTCTTCAATTTACAAAAAAATGGAACCTTTAAATCAACATTTAAAGTCCAACCTGTCCATCAATGGCGTGTTCACCCTAGTTACTTTAAATAAAATTCAGGCAAAAATAAAGTAAATCTAAATCAAAATATTTCATAATTATGCAGTTTCATATTAAAACCAATGATATACCAACTTAAATGCTTTTAAAATGAGAAAATTAACTAATATCTGATTTTGAGCAAATTTTTAATTTAAGAAACAAAAATAAATGTGAGTTTAAATAATTAAATATTTTGTTTAGTTACCTCTTCTGCACCCCCTTCATTCTCTTCATTATCTTCTTCGTCTTTATCTTCATCAACATCATCATCGTCATCCTCAGCTTCGTCTTCTTCCTCTTCCTCCTCTTCTTCTTCTTCATCAGAAGTATCATTATGTCCATCAAGTTGTGTCATACCACTATTCTATTAAAAAAAAAAAAATCAGTATCACAATCCTTTAAGAAAAAAAAGAAATCATACCACTATTTTATTTCTTTAAATGATTGGGTTTAAATTAACAACAGGCTATCAAGTTATGATTAAAATCATATAAATTATGACTACTTTTAAATCTATAAAAATCCGAACTTTATGCACCTAGCAAAGAAGAAGAAGAATGGGAACGTGTATTATGACAGTGAAATTTGGGTTTGAACTGAAGCAAGAAAGTATTTGTTGCAGTGATTCAGGGAAAAGCTACTACAACTTGATTTAGTTACATGCGATGAGAGAATCTTTAGAGAACCCATGAATAAATCAAATTTTAAGAACACCAGAGATATCATTGTAAAATAACTGTAGTCGATGTGAGCAAAATAAATATTGAGACAAGTTGATCAGTTTTCAATGGAGAAACATTTTTGTATTGGGAGAGTTGTTAAAAATAACATAGGAAAGGATAGAATGGATTACAGAAGAAGACCAGATACAAATAACAATAGATTAAGATTCTAAGAAATGAGCTTACTGCTCCAGCAAAGAGTTAATACAATCATGACCCCCTTGCCGCTTGTTGGATTAGAGATGGGTGAAAGGAAAAGAATATCTCACAACCATCGGCTAAACAATAGCTAGAATGAAGGATTATTAGAATTACTCACATAGATGAAAAAAAAAATTATAAGAAAGGGATGAACCCTATAGAATACAGGAAGAAAAAAAAAGGAAAGGCTTTTGAAGTGTAATTAAGAACGACTAACAATTATGAAGTGATTGGAATGGTGAGTCTGAAACACTGGTGTCATGTGTGTAGACTGTAATACATTTAATAACATTATTGGATAGGAAAAGGGCTTACAGCTTGAGAAGTACAATTCTGTGATAAACATTATCTAAAGGAGACTTAACTCCATAATATGATAAAGGTGTTGGGTGATTTTTAGGAGCATCAAGTGAATGGTAAAACTATGATGAAAACCAGACTGAAAGGAATGAAATTTCTTTGCTCATTTGAGTTTGGATTGAATGAGAAACTCCTATAGGTGGGTCTACTAAATGATTGGATTAGATAGAAATAACTTTGACTAGAAGAACATGTAGTATGGAGGGTAGGTATGTTTTGACTAATTTAATAAAAATATGCGTTCCGGGTTTTAGAGAATTAACATATTATTATAAACAAATCTCAATAAACTATGAAGTGTAATCAGACAAAAACACTTTAATAAATGTGTATCTTATGAGGAAGTAGATTCAAAATACCTGAGCAGGAAAATTTGTACTATTAGCAGTATTAGGCACAGTGACAGAATTGGAAGATTGGACTGGATGCTGTATTTGATGAATGATACCTGAAACAGAAAAATTCAACATAATGATTAAAAAAAAAAAAAAAACAATAAATAAATTATAGTTATGGTTTGTAAATTTAATTGATACTTTAATCTCGAAGCCTACCGAAGAATCAGCCTGGTACCAGGAAAATAGGATGTCAATGTTCACCCACGGAAGGAAAATAGAAGAAGGGTTTTATTAAATAGAATGCATTAGTGTTGAGACTACAATAATATATTAGAAAATTTGTACCAGTAGCACCAAGTTTTTTAGTATAGGATGTAAATAAGTAAAGAATAATAATAAATGATAGTCATGGTTTACCAAATGTCTTGTGCCAAAAAAACTGATGTGCTTTAATTAAATTTAGAAAAAATTGGATTTATAATATAAATTGTTAATATGTATATTTTTTATCTATATCATAGACGTGGAGAGGGGAGGGGGGAGGGAGAGCCGCTACCTCGGAGGCCGCATGAGACCCCTGTGACGTGATTGTGACCTCCAAACGTTTTTGAGCGATAGTAGATATTATTTATTAAATGACAATTTGGAATGTATGTATGTGGGTGTATGTATTTAGTGATAAATAAAAATAGCAGCAGTAAAATATAAAGAATTATTGCTGTCTCCATTAGCACTGCCTAACCTTACACTGCAGCCTCTAATGATAAAAAGGTTCGCCACCTATGATCTCTATAAAAGTTTATGCATATATATATATATATATATATATATATATATATATATATATATATATATATATATATATATATATATATATATATATATATATATATATATATATTTATAATAGCTTTTTCCACCTTTACTATGGAGTGGTTTGTATATGTTTCTGATTAGTAAATTAGAAACATTAAAGAAACAAACATAACATTTCTTCTAGGTATTGGTACTTGCGAGAAAAGTGAGTCCAGTATTTGAGCTTACAGGCCATTTTCACTGAACCAGACAGCTATCTAGAGGCTAATATTCTATCTTATCAAGAGGGAGATTGATATGAAATAACTATTGACTGACCAAAGTGAGAATGAACCCATACCCTTCTGAACAGGTACATGGTTTAAATAAGAATCAATCCAAACCAGAGCAATGTTTAGATGATAAGATACCTGAGGTATAACCGACCTCACTTTACAATGAATCATGATTTCTAATCACTCCTTTAATAACTATCCTCTCTTGGTACATTTCTGATAGTGCTCTTCTAGACAATGTACATTTAAACACTGATTCAAGAGAAATTACAAATTTTAATATATTGTTATACCTGTAGTAGCTTGTCCTTGTAGAGCCGCAGTTACATGTTGCTGTAGAAGTGTTGGAGCAAGGTTTGGAGGCATGGCCATTGTTGCTGTAATAACGGGCCCAGTTAATACCTGTTGAAGTTGATTACCTGAAATTAAAAATTAATTTCATGATTAATGATTTAATAATTATTTAAAGCATAAAATGTACTTCAAAATTAACATTCAATTAAAGTATGTAGAATAAATTATGTAAGAAAAAAAAAAGTACTTCCAGTAAACATTGTAAGAAAAGAGACTAAACATGGCAAGGCTTGATAAGCAGTTCACACAGCTAAATCTCCTTGCAATTTTGAAAGAATTACAGAGATATTTAATATTCAAATTTGAAAGACAGCATTGAAAGGAGTAGGTCTTGTATACCACAACATGAAAAAACAAGCAAGGAAAGCAGTAAAAAATTCACCTACAACGAATGACAAGGTGATGTTACCACAGTTATAAATGGCAAATCAGATATTAGGAAAGCATTAATTGACATATAACTCAAAGAGGAGACAAACAAATTAAAAGCTAGAGTTAATAGCTTATAAATATTAAAATAGAAAATGAATATAGTAAGGAAACACTATGAGTATTTGGAGTGTGGGATAAACAACAAAATTTCACATACACTTGGAAATTTAGGGCTATTAAATAATAAGATGGATAAATTACACAGATATATATTGAAGAGAAGATTGGTTGGGGTGATCAGTAAAAAAAAAAAAAAATGTAAAAATAAATAAGTACATTTATTTTTATTTTCACCAAGTTCAGGACTTCATCAGGGCTGGTCAAAAGAAAGATTTCCGCAAGACATTGTTGAAGTAAGAAAAAATAGAACTTGAATAAGAAGTAAGTAAGTAGAACTAAAAGAAGTAGAACTTAAATCTGATAGAGCTGAAGTTATAATTTTTCTTATCACAACAATGTTATCTTGCGGAAATCTTTCGTTTGATCAGCCCTGAACTTTGGGCTGAAACGTCGGCGAAAATAAAAATAAATATACTTATTTATTTTTACATTTTTTTTTTTATTGATCAGCAAATCTTATCTTCAATTATTCACTAATCAATCCACAACACAGATATATACTTTTAAAATCATTCCTGACATAATGAAATATAGCTAATTATGATTAATTAAATTGAATTTATTTGTTAAAGATTATTTTACAATCTTGTACAAATCATACATATATGAACAACTTTATCTCACCAACATGAGTCTAGTTTATCATTAACTGTACATTGACTTACTATAAAAACAATAACTAAACAATAATACTTCATTACATTCCAATTAATTTCTATCTACATTATCAATAAAACCATAAGAAAAAAAGAAACAAACAATTAAACTGACCAACAATTATCCTTAGTCATAGCACTTGATTGGTGTGTGGAACATCAGAGCTTAAGGAATCCAGTGAATTGCACGTTGACGTTATGAACCAGTAAACCTTGTTAAGTTTCTCTATGCTATCGATTCGAAGTATGTCTTGTATCTTGTTTACATCCCTTGGCGCAGAGAGAAATGCTCGTAAATGTTTGTGTCTGTTGTCTGTTAGCTTTTCACAGTACAGAAGGATATGGAACAGGCTGTTAGAAATGAATTTGTTACAGAAAGTGCAGCTTTCCTGGGCTTTGAAGTAGAAACTTTTGTTTTTCTTATAGAGCTTAATTAATTCGGGATTTGAAACCCTTAACTGACTTATTGATCTTAGCTTTTTTATGTTAACTCTATACATCAAATAGGACTCTGGGCTGGAAATATTGAAGCTGGAAATAGTTCTATATATGGGATTGTTGTTGGAATTTATGGATAAATGGATGTCCTTAGATAGGTTATGGTTTTTTAGCTTTTCCAATATTTCATCGCTATATTTTAATAATCCAGTTGGGTATACTTTATCGAACTCTTCTTTACAGCCATAATGAGCAGTTATTGATCTGACTTGTGTGATCCAATTAAAGTTTATATCAGGATTCCTTGTATCCAGCAAAATTAATTTGTTCAAGAAAAGCCTTGGTAACCTCTCTTCAGGCATAAGCGACAATTTAGACCAGTAATTTATAATCCTTCTCATAATCCTGAAGCTCAAAGCATTTCGTCCAATTTCGAGATGTACAATGTAGTTGGCAGTGTTCCTTGGCCATCTAAATAGTTGCTTCAGAAACTTCAGGTGTACCACTTCAATAGCATCCATGTATCTTAAGCTCCATATTTCAGAAGAATACAGAAGGGTTGAAGACACCATAGAATCAAAAAGAGCTATTTTTGTCTCCCATGAATCGCTTCTACCCCTTCGCAAAATCTCCAATACTTTTCCCAGGACTTCTGTATAAAATGCTCAGATGCCTTACTAAATTTTCCCGAGGAAGTGAAAGATACTCCTAAGTAAGTATAGGCCTTAGTGTATTCCAGCTTTTTCTCATACCAGTAAAGGGGCTTAAGTTTCATCATCCTGGGGGATTTATGGAATACTACAACTTTTGATTTTTCCTCATTTACAGTCAGGGAGTTCTTCTCGCAGTACTGCTGCAGGATCTTCAGTTTCTTTTGTGCTCCTTGCCAAGTATTACTAAGAAGAATAATATCATCTGCTAGTAAGAGTATTTTTATTTCATGAGTGCTATCGATGCTTACGCCTGTGAATCCATTATACTGAAAAAATTGGATTACATCTGATATGAACAAGACGAAAAGTGTTGGACTAAGACTTTCTCCCTGTAACAGGCCAGATGTTATATCTATGCTTTCTGATAGTTGTCCTTTGATTGTAATTTGAGTTGTAGCATTGTCGTACAGCACCTTCATTATCCTTATAAGTTTTCCTCCAAGTCCGAGAGAAAAGAGTTTTTCCCATAGCAGGTTATGGTATGATTAATTAAATGTAAGCTTACAAATTATTGAAAATATATTCGGTTCTTTAGGGCATTATAGTTTATATTGATGTGACATCAAAATAGATGAATATTATAGGCACGGGTAACAATCCTTCAACTAATTCTTTCAGAAGAAAAAAAATACTAATTTATAAACATTGATTACATAATAAGCATATTTCAGTGAGGAGCTTAAAGTAGCATATAAACAAAAATTGTTTACAGCATCGAGAATATTTCTCTCGAATATAATAAATAATTGAATATTATATATGTTAAAGAACTTTATAAGAAAAACTTATAGCTTATTACAGTGTAGTCGATACAACAACTGAGAAAGTAAAATATAAATACCTTGTAAAGCTGATGCTGGTACTTGTATAGTAATGGCTCTTGGTTGAGAATCTGGAACACCTTGCTGTGCAGGCAATGTAATTTGAATAGAAACATTTTTATTAGGAAATTCAACTGGCATACCAGAGTTACCTGAAACCATAAGTTAAGAATAAAAATTATTGAGGGAAAGATAAACATATAACAGAAATATCTGTTTAATAGGTATATATATAAAATTCATGGTTAAGATCTGACTTCCAGCAATGAATTTTACCAATGTGTCAAAATAAAGGAATTTTTATGGAAATGGGGCAAATTTCAATTTTTATCCTTAGATTTGTAATAAACTATAATAAAATGTGAGCGATATCTTGATCTCCACTTGATCCAATATTAAAAACCAATATGTGCTGACATTTATTATTAAGTTAAGAAGGGATTTCAGGTCAGGAATATTCTTCTTTTTTTAGTTTTTCAATAAATTGTAAATTCCCAGTTTGGCTCTTGATACTCAATACTTAGTGGACAGTAGTAAGTTAGTAGACTGAGACTAGAAAAATTGAGTTTTAATATTTTGAGTCATGCAAAGCCAGTCTAGGCATTCTAAAATTTACTGAAAAGATTAACAAAGAGAATAGTCCAGACCTGAGATCCCTTCTTAACTTTTTAATAAAAATCAACACATTTTGGTTGTTAATATTGCTATAGCAAAGAAGAAGATAAAGGTCTGTCTTCTATATTCAACACTTAATAACTGGAAGAACTAAAAACTAACAATATTTCTCTCTTGCACTCACCTGATAGATATCAGCGAGTACAATGCTGAGTTTTTAAAAACAGATGGATAACAGAATCTTATTACTGAGTTGTTGAATTAAAGAATATATTTTAAGCTGACATAAGGTAATTAATTAATCATTAAATAAACTGTTACTTCAACATGGCCATTATAAGGAACATGCAGCTTCATCAGATATGAACATTGAACAGAGTTTCTAGATAGTATTATATTGCTAATGAAAATAAATGCCTTGTTAAAACCACTTATTCTTGAAATACATCAGAGAGAAGAAAGATATGGGCCATTCCACCAATTGATATGGAATCATGTCCCATAGAGATTATGGCTTTATTGTGAAATTTCTTGTATAGCAACTGACACCAGTGTGAATTATCAGCTTGGAGTTCTATAATTTTTATCTTTCCAATCAATTTATTTTTATTTTTAACAATTAAATTATTGAAAGTGTCCAATAACATAATTTGGCAACTTTGATAAGTAAATAAGCTTCCTATTTCCGGCATTATCAAGCTACTTTGTTTTAGATTAGAGCCATTAGATTCTGGTAATATGAGTTGTTGAGTTTTAGAGGAAATAACAGGATCAAGTGTCACGAAAAATGATAATTCCTCTATTCTATAGGTTTTATCTAATTCCCTTCTAGTCTATAAAAACATAAGCCAAATCTTTTCTCAGCTTAATATATATATATTTTCATAGTTAACAAACTGCAGGAGGTCACAGCTAAACTGAGGATAATCTGATTTATGTCTACTTACATTTTTGAATCCTGGGCGATCTGATATAGGTTCCTCTAGGCAGGGCGGGACATGAAATGATTCAAAGATTTTGAGGAAAACTGTTAGCATTTCATGCCTTCCAAACATATTATATTTATTTTCAATACTCATATATTCACCTGTTAACTTTGAATTTTATTAAGATCTTCAATATGAATTATAAATTCATCTGAGATGTATATATCATTTATTTGATTCTTGTTTAGTAACCCCTTCCCCCACCTTCATGATTTCAATCATCATCATTTATCTCTATTAAGGTTGATTTATATAAATGGTTGTTTGTCAGTATGATAAAGAGTAAATAATAAAGTGAATCTTGGAAAAAAATTTTTATTATGTTCACACTTTACTTTTGTTTTGTGAAATTTAAAACAATAATTTCATGTCAAATGGAAGAATGACCAATAAATATTTATGTGAGAGTTCTCAGGTATGCTAGGATACTTAAAACTCTCTACATAACTAAATTTTAAAACAAATTATAAATGATAGATCCATTATGAACAAAGTTGATCAGTACATCAAAAAGATGATAAAATACAACATAAATCAATATGAAGAGATGAAAAAGAATCATTACTTTTCAAAGTTATGTTGTATCTTTAAAAGATCCTTTCGTAGTAACACAATTAATTAAAATGAGTTACAGAATGGTGTCAATTAAAATCAGTTAGAACAAAAAAAACTTGTTTTATTTTAATATTTATTTGTTAGAAAGAAGTGAATACTGTGGGTACTATAATTAATAAACATTTCTCTTTCTTAAATGTCGAATAACATAATGTAAACAATAACATACTATCAAAGTAGATCAAATTAAAAAAGCGACTCAGACGCAATCATGTAGTAGATACCAAACTTTGCTTTGCTTTCATTCGCTCAGAGCACAAAGCTTTTACTAATATGAGCTGAAGTTAACTTAAACTAGTGATGAATCACATTCACTTACCATGGATAAGCTGTGGTCCTACAGGCCTCTGAGTAACAGGTTGTTTAAGTGCAGGAGGTACAACATCATCTGGCCTTGGATCTATGGCTTTGCTAGCTTGCAATTTTGTTTCCCATATATTTTTTAATTCCATTAAAACCTGTTCATCAACTCCTTCATCTTGAAAGAATTCTCGGACACCTCCAATTACATCATCAATAACACTAGCATACAATTTACCCTAAAATATAAAAAAAGTGAACTGGTCATCAGTAAAATCTTCCTCATGTGATGAATAAGCAAGGAAACAATTTGTCTTAAGGATAGACACTATGAGAATGCTGAAAATATATCCTAAGAACAAAATTGAATGCACCCTTTTGTATAGATTTATTCAGTTAAGAATGGTTACTACTTAATAAACATGATTAGGTAAAAGTGACTAAGTAAAAAGATAAAAGTAATATAAATAGAAAAAAATTAACAAGGTACTTACTACAGTTGTTTGACTAAGAGACATGATTAAACATAAATAAAACAACTAATTCTTAAACATTAACAACTACTTCGTGGGCTTCTGCGAAGCCGATTCTCACGTCACCTTCTGGTCTTTTATACTTTCTAGCCTTCCCCTATACAACCGAAGTAAGAAGCAGCATATTTGTTTGGAACCAATTAAAAATTAACTAATATATAAATATCATCAAAAAATAAAATAAAAAAGAGAACAATTAATCTAGTGTCAGACGAATTTAATATCCTCCGATTGTTTTGTTTTAATAAAAAACGTTCACTGTACAGTAGCTTGATTTGACTACAGTTGTTGAAAGGTTAGAAGTTGATAAAATCTGGTGCTGCGCCAATCGGAGCTTCAATGAACTAAATAATTTCAGCTTGATCCAAAGAGGTTCTATTTCTTATTATTTTAAATTATTGTTTTTTAGGAAGTAAAGTAAGCACAGTTACATTCAGGGACAAGGTCAATAAACCTAACTACGTATATGAGGTAGTTTTATTGACCTTGATTCAGAGGTGCCCAGAAAGAGGTTTGATGGCGCAGTTTGCGCCATCAAAATATTTGAGAGTTCAACGGGGTTGTGAGTTTTCGAAATGAAAAGTTTCAAACCAGAGAACAAGAGGAGACTTCTGAAAGTGTCATTGTATGTGTGCTAATATTTTTTAAATTCTACATTATTACGAGACCCATGAGTACTTAAATGTTAACGCTGTAAGTTAATAGAATAGTGTCGGTTTATTGCAAAATTCACAAATAAGTTTTTGTAGGAGCAGAACTTTTGAGAACAATTTTGGAATTTCGCATCATTTATTGAAAAAATATTTGCCAAGTATGGCCTCAGGCGGATTTACGGGGGAGAGGAGGGCTTTCGGTCTGAAGCCCCCCTCCAAAATGGTAAAATGTAACCATGTTTTATGGTAAACAATATTAAAAAATTATGTCTTACAGTATAATTGCTAGATTAATTACATTTAATAGGACTTCAAGAATCACTTAAACACCATTTCATATAGGCAGTTAGTATATTTCTGTTTTTCCAAAGTAATTATCGTTTTATATATAAAAAAAAGCTTCCGGGCTGAAGCCCTCCCAAAATTAAATCCTGGATCCGCTAGTGAGTATGGCCAGTGTAGCTTTCTCCTGTTCATTCTTTACAAAATTACCTATATTTACACAATTACGTCTATAAATTTTCGTTAGAGAATTAAATCTTCAAGAGAAGCCGTTTTCAAAATACATGTGCGTTTTGATCATCAACTATTCAATAATAGGAAAGAATTTACATTTGCGAATTTCGTATTTGACTATTCCCGATTAAAAAAATAAATAAATAAATAAAATCACAACCATTTTTAGTGCAGTATGTACTGTTAGAGTTACTGGAGTTTTATTTTCAGTCCGGAGTGGAATTTACCGTACCTGTGTGAGGCAACAAAAACCTTTTCCTGCCTGTTATTGAAAAATTGTCTCCTAGTTGTATATGCACTGACCCCACCCCACACTCAAGGCATAAAATCGGTCCTTAGTCATAATTTGTAGATAATTGCTAAAAAATTATAAAGTTTATTTTTACCTGAAAATTATTCTATGATGAATGATTAAAATAATTAAAGATTTACTGGAGGCACAAATTAAAATTTCATTGAAATTTCCTGGACTGGCCACCCTGGCAGTTCCTGCATAAAATGTTCCAATATATTTATCTTTGGTTCCCGGTTTAATGTAAATTATTTCACAGTTTATATTTGAGTATCCATATTTGATGTTGGCCAATACATGATTGATTGTGAGTTTCAAATATCTTATTATTTTACTTTTCCTAATGAATGAAATGCTTGGGTATGTAAATGGGATAGCCTTATTCTTTAATTCATGGTGCTTAAATTAATGTGTAATCAGGATCTGAATCTTACATGAGGTCATTACTTTAATTAATAAATATATTTATTTTTCTAAAAACAGAAGATGTAAAACATTTTAGTATGATTGAATGTCACAGAACTGATTTATAAGATACAATAAGTCTTTTCTTTTAAAAAAATATAATTAAATCGACAATGGGTGGAGGGCGATTTTAGAGCTAAATCTCTGGATTTGAGAAAGTTGTTTTATAGGAAAAAGGTAATTATTTAGATGAGGACCGCAATGCTGGTGTGGTTCACAATCATTTCGGTCACACTTGTTTATGAAATGCTGAAGGGTTTTTCCGAAATACTTTTTTCGGTGTTTCATGAACAAGTGTGACTGAAGTGATTGTTAACCATGCCTAACTCTTGAGGTCCTCATCTAAATAATTTCCTTTTTTAAATGAGAAATTTCCAATTCCTTTTTGGATTTTGGGTTTTTAATTATTAACTTAATAAGAAAATTTGAATTTGATTAATTAACTTAATTAGTTGTGAACTCCTCAAGAAAGGATTTTGGTAGCTAAGCAATAATATAAATAAAATATTATTTAATGATACTTCAATTAAATTTTGTTTATAATCATAAGGATTGCTACTCTGTGACAGTGTTACTTTTAAATGTAATAATTATCAATATTTAACATTAAACATTATTTAAGTAATATGGAAGATTTGGACATGATATTTGGTAATTAAGTCAAGCAATATCTTCCTTTTTTCATTTTAATATGTAAATGACCATTGCATTCATATAATGTTTAGGGTCCTTTCCCATCCAAAAGACAATTTACGATATTACAGAACACGTATTAGCAAAAGTATGAAATTATAAAAATTATATAGTTGTTTATCTTAAAGTCTAAACTTCCCAAACATCCATTATTTATTATGTTTTTAATCTTCTTTCTTTATTTTTGCAAAATATATCCATATTTGCTATTGCTTTGTCTATTATTTAATTAATTAGTATTATTGGATTTATCTCATTTTAAAACAGACAATGGCAACAATATTCCTAATAGTTTTTTTATTATAAATAATCAAAACATTGAGTGCTACTGAACTGATTGTGAACCAAGCCTAATCCATAAAGAACTCTCGTGAACTGTACCAAAGAAACTTTAAGTATTGGATGTTTTTTTAAATGTTATTTCAGTGTGATTTTAATTAAATTATTTCAGCAAACTACAGCTATGATTCAAAAGATAATATACAAATTAAATAAATTCATATTATATTACATAAACAAACAAAATAAATTACAAATATTTGGTATAATAATCTAAGCTTGTGAAATGTTTATTGCAGAATTGATATGGACTAGTCAGAGGTTTTTGGCCCAGTGTCATCTTGGATGCATCAATTTTGTTTTAGCCAATGATTTTTAATTATCTATTAAAGGTATAGTGTTTTTTAACTTACTCTAATTTCCTGTTTTTTTTTTGTTTTTTTTCAGAAACAAACTTCAAATAACTTATTGGAGAATATTTGTGACAGAACTAAGAGAACTAGCTGTAACATAGAGGTAATAAAAAACATTATGATAAATTCATGAAATATACACTAATTATGCCTTATAATAAAACAAGTCTTGGATTATCTCTTCAATAGTAACTGCATTCTACTTGTTCCCCTTATTCCAGGGTTCACTTGTATAATCTTTATGTTAAGAAAGAGTTTCCACTTTGCTGAAAAATTTTCCTTTTTAGGGATATTCTAAGGTTGGGAAGGGAAAAAAAAAGGAACAGTTTTTATCAACTAAGTCTAATCTGATTGCAGTGTAATTTACTTTTTAAATAACATAAGTAAAAAAGAAATAAAACGACAGTTACATATAATATTACCTATTATTTTGTATATATTTAGGCTGAAGGGATTTTTAAGTTCATGCTGAGAGAAAAAAGAGGTAAATCTGACTGACCAAAAGGAAAAAAAAAAAAAAATTTTCTCGATCGCAATACTTACTATATATTACATATATACATAATATATGTATATTACATATATACATAATAATACTGGTTAAGGTTTAGGTAAAGGTTTAAGTGCTAAATTAGTACTTTATCAATTTAGAGAAAAAATCATTATTATTAAAAAGGTTTGTTAATTAAAATTTAAATATTATTGCTTTTTTCAAGAGATTATTTTAAAAGAAAAGTTTGCTTCCATATATTGACAAACAAATCATATTCAATTTTTTTTTTCTGTGTAAAATTGTACATAGTCATCACTGAATAAAAAGTAAAGTTATTTCAAAGAAATTAATCTTTATTTTCTACCAACTTGTCTGGAATAGCAATTTTTGAAAGAATAAAATAGACCATATTTAAATATATATTAATTTAATAGTTATCTTTTCCTAGTTTTCAAGTAAAAAACAATAATTATTTTGGAAATAAGAGTGATTGCATTATCTACCATGACTTTGGTGGGCAACAGCATATTTCATGACAGATCTACTTCTGTTTAAACATTTTTTTAGCATTCTTGCTCAGACAATTAATTTATGATACCCATGTATATGTCATTATTTGATTGATATTATTATTTACTTTATCTTTTTTTATTGTTAGTGACCACTTCTTATTGTATTAATTCATCAAGAAAATTGTATTTCTGTATTAATATTTAATTTTTGTGAAATTAATCGAATTGTTTGTTATGCTATCTGATAGTCTTGATTTATTTCAACTAACTAACTCTCTACGAAGCCATGTTAGATGTTGATCAGGGTTTGCTTGTCCATATAAACAACCTAAGTGGCCAAAATATAGCTGCTTTAGTAGACTCCAAAAGATTGTTAAATCCCACATCAATATTTCATGAAGTTTGATTTTTGTCATTATCCATTTAATATGTTTTTGGGGAGGAGACAAAAATTTCTTATGTTCCTAAAAACTATTCTTTCAGAAATCAGTTAAGTATTGGATAAAATAATTAACAACAGATCGACCAACTACTTAGTGGGTGGTGCAGCTGAATGGGCTAACGCATGTGCACAGCACCGCTGTTGCCCGGCAACCTGATATATCAATCAAATGATATAAAATAGTCATGAGTTCGCATCCCGGTGCCGAAGGAGTCTTTTAAATCCCCGCCCACACTCTCTGGCCCGGGAAAACCCCGTATAGCCTTAATGGCGAGGAAGGGGAGGACCCAAAAAAAAAAAAAA